TACAGTAGTCTGCATAACAGTAAATCTTCTATTTTTTGTGAGAATAAAAATTCAAAGCGGAAAGCAAAAGAAATGTAAGAGGGGCGTGGGGATTTGACTAATAAACAGAGGAAATGTTATTTTAGTGCCAGGAATGTCTTTCTTGTTTATTCTGAACCCTATTTGGAAATTGGCATCTTTTGAAATTTGTGTGAAATTGGCAAAATTGCTAAATTCTGACCACTTTATTGGATAGTTGAAATCGGTAAATGGGTGGTTTCTTGTACTCATTCTATAGAAAAAACGGAGTTCTAGCGAAATAGTTATGATTTTTGTCAACTAGTACACTGGAATTGGCCGAAAATAGGGCTCAAAGTGGGCAAAATCGCCGATGCGTAAACATCGTCGAGACCGCTAACTTCGTGAGAGCATAATTCCGTAAGTTTTCCATCAAATTTCATACTTTTGGTGTCATTATGATCGGGAAAAGATTCTCTATCTTTTCATAAGAAAAAATATTTTTTTTTTTTTTTTTAGATTTTGGCGATTCTGAGAACAAGTCTCTGAGAGAGCCTGGCGACCCTCAAAGGGTTAAATGGCCAGTTGGACATGTATCAGACAATCAACTGAGAGTGACTAGTGTCACTCGTCACTCCCAGTTGATTTTCTAATATGTGTCCAACTGGCCATTTAATTTGTGTCCATCTGACCATTTTTGTGTCCACCCAAAACACAGACATACAGTGGACCCTCCGCTAACGATGGCATCATCTAACGTTAAATCCAGCTAACGATACATTTTAACGCAAAATTTTTGCCCCAACTAATGCTAAAAAACTCACCCTACGCGATTCGTTCAAAACGCGTCCAGTGTGGCCTGAGCGAGCCAGCGTTTACAAGCCAGCTAGTGCAGTCGCATCCATGCATACAATCGGAACATTTCATATTATCACAGCGTTTTTAGTGATTGTTTTTTTTTTTTTTTTAACAAGTCGGCCGTCTCCCACCGAGGCAGGGTGACCCAAAACAGAAATAAAATCCCCCCAAAAAAATACTTTCATCATCATTCAACACTTTCACCACACTCACACATAATCACTGTTTTTGCAGAGGTGCTCAGAATACAACAGTTTAGAAGCATACACATATAAAGATACACAACATATCCCTCCAAACTGCCAATATCCCAAACCCCTCCTTTAGAGTGCAGGCATTGTACTTCCCATTTCCAGGACTCAAGTCCGACTATATGAAAATAACCGGTTTCCCTGAATCCCTTCACTAAATATTACTCTGCTCACACTCCAACAGATCGTCAGGTCCCAAGTACCATTCGTCTCCATTCACTCCTATCTAACACGCTCACGCACGCTTGCTGGAAGTCCAAACCCCTCGCCCACAAAACCTCCTTTACCCCCTCTCTCCAACCCTTTCGAGGACGACCCCTACCCCGCCTTCCTTCCTCTATAGATTTATATGCTTTCCATGTCATTCTACTTTGATCCATTCTCTCTAAATGACCAAACCACCTCAACAACCCCTCTTCTGCCCTCTGACTAATACTTTTATTAACTCCACACCTTTTCCTAATTTCCACACTCCGAATTTTCTGCATAATATTTACACCACACATTGCCCTTAAACAGGACATCTCCACTGCCTCCAACCGTCTCCTCGCTGCTGCATTTACCACCCAAGCTTCACACCCATATAGAGTGTTGGTACTACTATACTTTCATAAATTCCCTTCTTTGCCTCCATAGATAACGTTTTTTGACTCCACATATACCTCAACGCACCACTCACCTTTTTTTCCTCATCAATTCTATGATTAACCTCATCCTTCATAAATCCATCCGCCGACACGTCAACTCCCAAGTATCTGAAAACATTCACTTCTTCCATACTCCTCCTCTCCAATTTGATATCCAATTTTTCTTTATCTAAATCATTTGATACCCTCATCACCTTACTCTTTTCTATGTTCACTTTCAACTTTCTACCTTTACACACATTCCCAAACTCATCCACTAACCTTTGCAATTTTTCTTTAGAATCTCCCATAAGCACAGTATCATCAGCAAAAAGTAACTGTGTCAATTCCCATTTTGAATTTGATTCCCCAAAATTTAATCCCACCCCATCTATAAATATATTAAACAACCATGGTGACATTACACATCCCTGTCTAAGACTTACTTTTACCGGGAAGTAGTCTCCCTCTCTTCTACACACCCTAACCTGAGCCTCACTATCCTCATAAAAACTCCTTACAGCATTTAATAACTTACCACCTATTCCATATACTTGCAACATCTGCCACACTGCTCCTCTATCCACTCTATCATATGCCTTTTCTAAATCCATAAATGCAATAAAAACTTCCCTACCTTTAGCTAAATACTGTTCACATATATGCTTCAATGTAAACACTTGATCTACACATCCCCTACCCACTCTGAAACCTCCTTGCTCATCCGCAATCCTATATTCTGTCTTACCTCTAATTCTTTCAATTGTAACCCTATCGTACACTTTTCCTGGTATACTCAGTAAACTTATTCCTCTATAATTTTTACAGTCTCTTTTGTCCCATTTCCCTTTATATAAAGGGACTATACATGCTCTCCGCCAATCCCTAGGTACCTTTCCCTCTTTCATACATTTATTAAACAAAAGTACCAACCACTCCAACACTATATCCCCCCCTGCTTTTAACATTTCTGTCATGATCCCATCAGTTCCAGCTGCTTTACCCCCTTTCATTCTACGTAATGCCTCACGTACCTCCACCACACTTACATTCTGCTCTTCTTCACTCCAAAAAGATGGTATACCTCCCTGGCCAGTGCATGAAATTACCGCCTCCCTTTCTTCCTCAACATTTAAAAGTTCCTCAAAATATTTATATATACTCTGATAATTATACTTATGTATACCTGTACTTAAATAAACTTACACACTGTGCTGGCATGCAGGTACACATTAAAATCAGTAAGAGTGTCTTATGTCTCCAGACGTCATATTAGTAATGATAATAATAATCATCGAGTCATTTAAATGTCGTATATTACGTTAAATACACATTTTCATTAATCCATCTATGATATTTTTTCAAAATTATATAATAAACACGATACATAACATAAAAAGATGATAAATACACCCCACAATAGAATAAATAAACAAATATGAGATGTGGTAGCAGACGACTTGCACAAGTGACGCCATATTAGAAATGCTAATAATAATAATAATAATCACCGAGTCTCATTAAATGTTGTATATTACGTTAATATACACATTTTCATTAATCCATCCATGATATTTTCTTCAAAATTATATAATAAACATGATACATAACATAAAAAGATGATAAATACACCCTACAATAGAATAAATAAACATAAATATGAGATGTGGTAGCCAGATAACTTGTACAAGTGATGCCAAGAATAACATTTTCTCTAATCTAACATAAGAGAAAATGTGTTACTGGGGGTAACTGTAGAAAATTATTCCTTTCGTATGTAAGTTTATTCAGGTATACACAAATACAGTTACATAGATTATCATACATAACATATGTGTAGAGAACCTAGGATAACCCAAAAAAGTCAGAGTGACTTATTTCCATTGCCTTCACTCAGAGCATCATTTCTTCTCAAAATGATGTTACATGAGAATGGGAGTGTTCTTCTTTATTTATTCTACCATATCAATGTAGAGACAACCTGTACACAATGTAACTTGTACACAAACCAGACGTGTACACTTCGTTTACAAAACTTACCTTCGCCTGGTTTGTTTACATAACTCTGCGCCTGTCCTCTCTCATGCACTCATTCTTTCTCTCTCTCATTTATTCGTTTTATCTCATTTACTTACTCCTGACCCTACATTAAGACTACAAATATTTTAAGGTAAGTAATGAGTGAACTGTATATACATTTTATCACTCTGGGATGCTTAAATGTAATAGAATATTATGTGTAGGTGGGTTGGCCTGGTATGGTAGCCCGGCTGACTACCATACATACCACACTTGATTTTTTACAATAAATAATACTCATCTCACCCTATATTTTAAGGTAAGTAATGAGTGAACTGTATATACATTTTATCGCTCTGGGATGCTTAAATATCATAGAATTGTATGTGTGGGTGGGGTGGCCTGGTATGGTAGCCTGGCTGACTACCATACATACCACACTTGATTTCTTACAATAAATACTACTTGTCTCACCCTAGATTAAGACTATAAATATTTTAAGGTAAGTAATGAGTGCACTATGTGTGTATTGTACTTTTTTATTGTTTTTTGATGCCTGGTTCTATTGCTAACTTAATATATGTTAGTGTAAACTTGTTATCTAGTGTTTGTATGCATTTGTAAGTGGAAAAAAAGGGTGTTCCACTTTACGGCAGTTTCGCTTTACGGCGGTAGCCTGGAACCTAACCAGCCGTATAAGTGGGGCCTTCCTGTACATGGTCAGTTTTGTTTTCCCCATCTTGAATAGTGTGGGATAAGATTTCTTTTAGATAGTGCACACTCACTGCACAGACCCAGTCTCTCATATCTAGGCCAAAATTTACTGCTCATAGCTTATCTGAGTGAGCTGAGCTCATGACACAGAACTATGTGAGGGACCCTGGTTTCAATGACAGTTTGATGTAATGGCCATTGAATGGGTCAAACCAAACAGTTTTTTTTTTCCACTACGCACTATGTGGGGCAGAATTTTTTTTATACTGTGCACACTCACCACTCAGACCTATACTCTCATATCTAGGCCAAAATTTACTGCTCACAGCTTATCTAAGCGTGCTGAGCTCATGACACATGACTAACTACATGAGGGGGCCCCTGGATGAATCACTTAGTTCTTCATGATGGTTACTGCAAGGGTTAAGTACTGTAATAATGGTTTAATTCTACATATATCACAATACTCTACAAGGAAAAATGTAAAGAGGAGGAAAATATGAAAAAACAAAGATATTAAAATGCAAATACTCACCGAAGAATCATCAAATTCAAACATAGTGCCACTAGATGCCTCAGCTACAGCTGTGTAATGACCTCCATGCTGCGATCCACCAAGGTGAATAACCATAGATGCCAGACGATATTGATATGGTCCACTACCTGGCTGATGCTTGCTTGCTCCATTCACGAACCTTGATATATCTATTGTTCTTTGAATATTTATGTGTTTCCCAATTTTACCACCAGACATAGTAAATCTGAAAAAAAAAAAAAAAAAAAAAAAAAAAAAAAAAAAAAAAAAAGATTCAGTAAATATTTTTATATGCAATCAATTAGCTCATGTTAACAAAAACAGTACACGTGTGTTTTATAAAATTGTCTAACCTCTTCAGCTGTATTAACAGCACGTGTGGAGCGCGTTCTATGAGATGGCGTTTAGTAGCTGGTACCTTCTTGTGACACCGCTCACATTTATAGGCATTATCCACATCTAGGGTTTCCTTTTTAAAATGAAGGTTGAGTGCATCATCAACACTGTTGACTGATCGGATATCTAGCACCAAGTCTTGGAAATGTGAAAATGTAGTAGACACGTAACGGCACACAGGGCATATCACTGAAAAGAACAATAAAAAAAATAAAAAATATTAAATAACAGGAAGGTTTTAAAGGCTTTAACTTAAAATAAAAATAATTAACATACTGGAAAAAGCATCAGATTGCAGTAAAGATAGCTAGAGTTGGCAACACATCTAACCATGGAAATTTAAGTTTCTGAAATTAACAACTGCAAGGGAAACTGAAAGCATGGCTTTATTTATAGAAAGGCTAAAGATTAATGGACAAATTTTTCAAACTGAAGGGCCCAATTACAATAGAAAATTTTCTCCAAGAGGAGAATAACTGATCCCCTTAACAGCCTATGTGGTACTGTGTATCATTTTTGTGGCAAGACATCTGGAAAGGGAACTCCCTCCTACTCCATTCCTTGATTGCTCTTTTCATGCACAATTGAAGTACAGTAGATTCACGTATCAAGAATGTAATTAGGAATACATTTACAATTGAAGTACAGTAATATTCATATATCGTGTAATTAATAATACAAGATGAAAGACTGTGGTGTATCTTCAAAGTTTTACACACACACACACACACACACACACACGCAACCCTGCAACCACAATTAGGTGAGTACACACACACACACACAAAAAGCTTAGCCAACAAAATTATGGAAAGTACAGAAATATATATCAAGAGGCTGGATGAATGCATTAATAGTGCAAATAAAGAAAAGGGGCTGAATAATTACACAGTAATAATCTAATGAGATGACACGATGGGGTTAAGAATAATTCCATTGTGGCAATAATTAGGTGAAGGGAGGGAGGCATTACAAGACTTTTATCTTGAAAATGTTGTTTTGAAATGAAGTTAGAAAAAGAGGGTATAAGTAAATAAATCTTACCCAATTTGTTTTCAGATATCACAATTGAAAAATTGCAGTATATTTTTTATCATCACACCATACTGGTTATTTACTACTAAGTAATTTAGAGAAAAATGGCCAAAAGGCAGTACAAGAAAGCTAGTAACCAATAATTTCACTAACTACACATTGTAGTGCCTTTAAACAGCCATTTACTTACCCTAGGTTTATTTATACAAATATTTTATAGGTTGATTATTCAATAATATGAAAAGTAATTAAACAAGAGTGAATGGATGATCTTGTGGTACCACCATGTTCAACATTTGTGTATGGAATTCACGTGACCATAACAGTATATGCCTTTATATATCAATTGTTTATCACACGGGAGTCAGATATAACCAAATTAGACGTTTCATGCATACCAGTCAACACATGCAGTATCTTCATATCCTTTGATCATCACACCTAAAATGTGAGGATACTGAGATTATGTTTATAGTATACCAATTGAGTCTCTATGCTTCCTTTCATTTGCATAATCAGTGTTTTCCAGAGGTAAAGCTAAATAATGAGATCACAATATCTAGGGTATATACAATGTGCAACATTTTGGTTATTAAACCTTTTTGTTGATAAATAAATGACTTCACATTCTGAGTTCGCAGGTTCTGCACCTGCCCATTAGAGCAACTACCACCATTTATTTACCTTCTATTTATCTTTCTTTGCAGAATCTATGTTAAAAAATAAAAAGGAATCTGGATATAATGTGTATACAGTACTTACTTCATATCTTCTTGATAAATGAGACACTTGTGCAATATTTAGGTATCATTATTCTGGAAACATTCTGCCAGTCAGTGGCTTCTTCAGTCCAAAGCAGAGAATGGTAGAAGATGATGAGGAGTTTGAGGCACTCAATCCCTCAGCCTGGAGTCAATGTGTTCAGTCCATACAATGTGCATCAGTTTCATTGATAAACTCATACTTTGTGATATAAGATGTGTGAGGGGTGGCATCAATGTTCACATGTGTTCATCTGTCCTCCCTCACCACCCTCTGCTCCTTACTCTTATTTCTTTAATTGAAAATGAGGGATATCGTACTGCATTTTGTGCTTTATTTAAATACAAATATTAATGTGAATTTAACAGTTCATATTTACAAAAGCACTCTGGCAGTAAATTTCACAGAAATGAGATGGACACAGACCCTTGGGCCATAACAACAGGACATAATGATAGAAAACTTGACAGTTTTTTTTTTTTTTTTTGCTATTTTTATAACTTTTTTTTTTTATATTTTTGTGGATACTTTGCACTTGTATTATGGGGTATTACTCTGGGTAAATTCATTTCGTACAAACTTGTCTCATGGCTGTTAATATATAGAACTTTTGCTGGTGCTTGCAGGCGATTGTGGTTGAGGTGGTGGCAGTTGATAGTTGTGGAACTGCCTGTTATATGTTTGAATAGGTATTACACAGGTAACATCAACCTTCTCCCCACATTCCTAAATCAAGACACAATGGCAGCTACAATGCAAGGTAGGAAAACATGATTATTTCTTAGTTTTTACAAAAGTAAAGCTCTAAAACAATTTGGTAAGTGTTCTTGAGCGTTTCAGAAATGTAACCCTATTTTTCCCACACATTTTTTGTCAATTTACAATTTTTTTATTATATGCCATTGTTGAAGAATGTAACTGTCTTAATATATATAATCTCCTGTATATGAGATATAGCCATCTCATAACTTAAGCATCTTTGTGGCCTTTACTGCAAACAATTTGGGATAAATGCAATGGAGGAAACTTGCATGTAAATCTTTGCCACAGAATTCATGTTACTATTTTTATGGAGACTAGTCTACACTATATTATAAGATACACAGTAATAAACCACTATTACACACATTTACAGCTTTAACCAGTGTTTATTTCTAGTGATATTGATGTGTACATGCTATAAAACTAATACAATAAACATAAACGAGTAAGAGCTTTCTTAACTCTCAAATAGGAAAAGCTAAAAGTACTGTATTAAACAACCAAAAAACCAGCTTTAAAGCGAGAGACTTGAAGCCAACTAAAGCCTAAGCAATTTCTGAACTTTACACAGTATTAGTCACCCATCTATTACTTTCAAATTTTTTATACAATTATGCACGTTACACTTAACCACTGTATTTCCTTGTACTTCTATGTATCAAATTAATAAAAATTAATAAATAGTTTACACTGTTGGCAAAATATACTTTTACCTTAAATTCAAAAGTAATTTACAAACACTATTCACAAAATCAATAATTATATCTCCCAATGAAAGAAAATTCTGAATAATGCATGCATCATGCAAGGTGTACATGTATACGTACGTACGTACGTGTGTGTGTGTGTGTGTGTGTGTGTGTGTGTGTGTGTGTGTGTGTGTTTTTTTTTTTTTTTGGGGGGGGGGGGAAGGTGTGCGAGGCTGTGGGTAGAACGAAAGGAGGTAAAGCAGCTGGGAGTGATGGAATCAAGAAATATAAAAAGCAGGTGGATATATAGTTTTGGAATGGTTGGTGCTTTTAATTAATAAATATAAGATAAGGTATCTAGGGATTGACAGAGAGCATGCATAGTTCCTGTGTATAAAGGCAAACAGGACAAGACAGTGTAAGAATTATAGGGGAATAAGCCTGCTGAGGAGTTGCAAAGGTTAGTGGATAAGTTTGGGAGGGTGTGTAAAGGAAGAAAGTTGAAAGTGAACATAAATAAGAGTGAGGTGATGAGGGTATCAAACAAGTTAGGTAAAGAAAAATTGAGTATCACATTGGAGGGAGCGAGTATGGAAGTGAATGTGTTCAGATATTTGGGAGTAGATTTGTCAACAGATGGGTTTATGAAGGATGAGGTTAACCATAAAACTGATGAATAAAAAAAGGTAAGTGGTGCACTGAGATATCTGTGGAGACAAAAAACATTATCCATAGAGGCAAAGAAGGGAATGTACAAGAGTATAGTGGTACCAACACTTTTATATGGGTGTGAAACAATGGGTTGTGAATGCTGCAGTGAGGAGGAGGTTGGAGGCAGTGAAGAGGTCGTGTCTAAGGGCAACATGTGGCGTAAATATCTTGCAGAGAATTCGTAGTGTGGAAATTAGGAGTGTGGAGTTACTAAAAGTATTATTCAGAGGGTTGAAGAGGGGTTATTGTGGTGGTTTTGTCAGAGGATGGAGCAAAATAAGATGACTTGGAGGGTGTATAAATCTGTAGTGGAGGGAAGGAGGGGTAGGGGTCATCCTAGGAAAGTATGGAGGGAGGGGGGTAAAAGGTTTTGTGTGCAAGGGGCCTGGGCATGCAGCAGACATGTGTGAGCGTGTTAGATAAGAATGAATGGAGATGAATGGCTTTTGGGACCTGATGAGCTGTTGGAGTGTTACCAAGGTAATATTTTGTGAAGGGATTCAGAGAAACTGGTTAGCTGGACTCGAGTCCTAGAGGTGGGAAGTACAATGCCTGCACTTTAAAGTACGGGTTTAGGATATTGGCTATTTGGAGTGACATCTACACTGTCATATCTGGGAAACTCTGCAAAGACAGTGATTATGTGTGAATGATGGTGAAAGTGTTTCTTTTTTGGGTCACCCTGCCTCAGTGGGAGACGGCTGATGTGTTTATATAAAAAAAAAAAGCTTGTTGAGTACACCTGGTAAGGTGTATGGCAAAGTTATTATTAAAAGAATTAAAAGTAGGAAGGAGAGCAGGATTGCAAATGAACAAGAAGACTTTAGAATGGGTAGGGGATGTGTTGACTAAGCGTTTACATTGAAGCATGCAAGTGAACAATATTTAGATAAAGGTAGGGTAGTTTTTGTTGATTTTATGAATTTAGAAAAAGCCTATGATAGGGTGGATAGGGAAACAATGTGACAGATGTTGCAAGTGTGTGGAATATGTGGTAAGTTACTAAAATGTTAAAAAGATTTTTATGAGGACAGAGTGAGGCTCAGGTTAGGATATGTAGGAGAGAGGGAGACTACTTTCCATTAAAAGGCCTTAGACAGGGATGTGTGATGTCACCATGGTTGTTCAATATATTTATAGATGGGGTTGGAAAAAGAGAGGAATGCTCGAGTGATGAAAGAGGTACGGGAATAAAAAGATAAAAAATCTAACACAAAGTGGGAGTTGTCA